ACACACACTCACACACAAACACATATATGTTTTTTGATTCATTTGGGAGTAAGTTGCAATATGATACTCTTTTACTCCACAATACTTCAAAATATATTTTTTAGGTGCAAGAACAATCTCTTACATAACCAGAGTACAATGATCAAAAGTAGGAAATTTAACATAAGAAAGCCCAATTATCTAATCTACAGTCATATATAAATTTAGTTGATTGTCTCAATAATGCCATTTATAGATAAGCTTCTTTCCAGGTCTGGATCCCATCCAGAATGTGCCCTGCCTTAGTGTCACGCCTCTACAGCTCTATGTTTTTCTTTAATCTGGATCAGTTCCTCAGCCTTCCTTTGTCTTTCATGACCTTGACATTTTGAAAGAACACAGGCCAATTATTTTTTAGAATGTCTCTCAATTTGGGTATGTCTAGTGTTTCTTCATGATTAGATTCAGGTAATGTATTTTTTGGGAGAAATGCACAAAGATGATGTTGCGTCTTTCTCAATGAATCAGAGATCAGGAGGTAATGATGTTGGTTTGTCCTGTAATTGGTGATGTTAGCTTTGATCACTTGGTTAAGGTGGTGTCTGCCAGGTTTCTCTGCTTTAAAATAATTATTTCCTCCTTTTTATTTAGTAAGTAATTTCTAGGGAAAAGTTTGAGACTATGTAAATACTCTGTTCATTAAAATTTCACCCACTACTTTTAGCATCCATTGATGATTCTTGTTTAACAGTTTGTTAATTGCTATGATAGTTGCAAATAGTCATTTTCTAACCTTATCATTTCTTCTGCACTCAAGTAATTGGCTTTATAGGGTAAGAAAGGACTTCTTTCTTCCTTCCTTCCTCCCTCCCTTCCTCCCTCTCTCTCTCTTTCTTTCTTTCTTCTCATCAGTATGGATTTTTAGATTCACATTTCATTTAGTGGGCTATAATACATTGCTGCTATTATTTATATTGATGCTCAAATTATCCTGGACTTGTCCAATGGGAGAGCTTTAAGGTGGCTCCTGTGTCACTGTGTTACGTCTCCATCATTTTTTTTTTTTTTTAGTCTATCCTTATTTTATGGTCCAATCAGTGTTTTAGGATCATCTTGTACTTTTATCGTCTCAGTGATGAATCAGCTATTTTCCTAAGCATCTCTCATTTCTTCTGGTACAGAGTGGTAATTAGAAGGTAATATCAGGAAGGCAGTTGTGCTCATTACAAATTGGGGTGTTATTTTCTTTTATGTCTTCTCAGCAGACAGAGCTGAGAAAAACACATGTGCACACACACATCTATTTCTGTCTCTCTCTGGTAAAACCATGAGTTTTACTGATACCTACATTCCGATTCCAGACCACCTGCCAGTCTTCCTTTTTGTATATTATAACTGCCTTCTTCGATGTTAAGAAATCTAGCTCCCATGATTCTCAATATATTCACTCATTTGCTCCATGGTAGAACAGCTGAAAGTAGTTTCAGAATTGCTACTCCATATCACTGGGGGCAAAATAACACTAACTAGAGTTTAATATTTGTTTACAATTCGTTTTTGTCTTTAGATTGGGGCATGTAGTCAAAGTATTATCTCACTAGGTGCGTTTTTTTAGTTATGTAATTATTTGAAATATAATTAGGTTTATTTGTTTTATGTATTTTAAAATTCTATTTTATTCCCTCATCCTTGTTTTATCATTTTTTGGGTATTAAACATACAATGATACCCCAAAGTCAAAATTATACAAAAAGTTATATTCTGCCAATCTCCAATCCCTTCAACTCCATTTCCACCCACATCCTGTGGGTAACTAATCTTATCAATCTCTGATGTATCTGTCTTCTGTTTCTGTTTGCAAAAATTAGCAGACATATGAATATGTTCTTCTCCCCTCCTACAAAAAATCGTGGCATACATATATTTCCCCTTTGCATTCTCCCGTTTAACAATATATCTTGGAGTCATTCCATCTCAGTTCATGGAAATCTTCCTCATTCTCTTTTGCAGCTGCTTAGTACTTCCTTGGTGGGTACACCATAGTTTACTTAACTAGTCTCCTGGGAATGAGCATTTAGATTGTTTCTAATATTTTGGGAATACAAACAATGCTGTAGTGATTAATTTTGTTCATATTTATTTTCTTGTTGGAAGTGCATCTTCAGAATAAATTCCTGGAAGAGGAAATGCTGGATCAAAAGATAAGCACATATGTTGTTTTGTTAGATTTACACTCTATAGGCATTATATCAATTGGCAAATCTACCAGCAATGATTGTTTCTCTTTCCCCACAGCCTCACCACCTGCATATGTTGACAAGTCTTTTGAAATTTTTGTCATTCTGATAAATGGGACATAGCTTTAATTTGTGTGTCTCTTATGAATGAATTCAGATATCTTTTTATATGTTTAAGGGCTTGAAACCTGTTTATAATGATGCAGGTGAATAATATCTTCATTTTGTTCCACGCAGGAAAACTCTCAGCACCTATTCATCACATTTTGGTTTTCACATGCTATTTTGATTTCCATTTGCTGATAGACTCCTAGCCTATTCAAGAATTTGGATTAAATGACTGTGAGGTTTCTTTATGGAAACAAAGCATGAGACTTTGGCAAAGATCTTGAAATCATTGTTTGAAAAGCCAGAATATTAAAATGGAAGTTTTGTCAAGCTTTCCACCTTAACGCACAATATGATCACTGTATTTTTTTTTTTTTTTTTGATTGCCTAATGTGTTGGTTAAGAAATGTCAATTCTGGACCAGCTACATCAGAATCATTGAGGTATCTTAAACAAAATAAAAATCTGAGGCTCTGACTCAAGAGAGTCTGAATTACTAGATCTTAAGTTGGACCCTATAATCTGTGTTTTTCACAAGCTAATGATTCTGCCAGGAGCAGTATTTGGATGTTTGGTTAACTGACTGTGGGAGGCAGAATAGTGACCCCTAGTGATGTCCACATCCCAATCTCCAGAACCTGTGAATATGTGACTTTACAGGGCAGAAGGGCATTTGCAGATATGATTAAGGGTATGGGATTTGAGAGAGGGGAGATTATCCCAGATTTTCTGGGTGGGCCCAATCTAATCTCCAGAGTCCTTCGAAGCAGAGAACCTTTCCCTGCTGTGATCAGAGAAAGAGGCATAGTGATAGAAGAAGGATCAGAGACATGCTATGCAGCTAGCTTTGAAGATGGAGGAGGAGGCCATGAGCCAAGGAATGTAGACAGCCTCTAGATGCTGGAAAAGGCAAGGATTATCTCCTAGGGCCTGCAGAAAGGAACACAACCCTGCCAACATCTTGATTTTTACTCCATTAGTCCCGTGTAAGACTTCTAACCTACAGAACTGCATAGCAATAAATTTGTCTCCTTTTTAAAATTGTGGTTAAATGTACAGAACATAAAAGTTACTATTTTAGCCATTTTTTAAGTGTATGGTTCTGTGGCATTAAGTGAATTCACATAGTTGTGCAACCATCACCACTATCCATCTCCAGAAATTTTTCAACTTCCCTATTTGAAACTCTATACCCATTCAACACTAACTCCTCATTCCTCTCTCCCTCAGCCCTGGGCAATTTCTAGTTTACTTTCTGCCTCTATGAATTTGACTGCTCTGGGAACCTCATATAAGTGGAATCATACAAAATTTGTTTTTTTTGTGTTTGATTTATTTCACTTAGCATAATGTCTTCAAGGTTCATCCACGTTGTCATGTTGTTTGACACGTGTCAGAATTTCCTTTTCTTTTAAGGTTAATTGTATTCCATTGTATTCACATACTTACCACATTTTTAAAATCTAGTCATTCATTGAAGGATAGTTGGGTTGCTTCTACCTTTTGGCTGTTGTGAATAATGCTGCTCTGAACATGTATTTGAGTTCTTGCTTTCAAATCTTTTGAGTATAAACCCAGAAGTAGAATTGCTGATATATGGTAATTCTATATTTAATTTTATGTGGAACTGTCATACTGTTTTCCACAATAGCTATACCATTTTAGATTCCCACTAGCAATGTACAAGTGTTACAATTTCTCCATATCCTTGCTAACACTTGTTATTTTCTGTGTGTGTGTGTTGTTTTAATAGTAGCCATTCTAATGAGCTAAAAGTGGTATCTTATTTTGGTTTTGACTAGCATTTTCCTAATGCTTAGCAAAGTTGAGCATCTTCTCATGTGCTTATTGGCCATTTTTTTGTCTTCTTGGGAGAAGTGTCTACTGAAGTCCTTTGGCTATTTTTTAATTGAGTTGTATTTTTTTACTTTTTGAGTTGTAGGAATTCTTTATATTTCTGGATATTAATCCCTTTCAGATCTATGATTTTTCAAATATTTTCTTCCATTCAAAATATTTTCTTCCATTCCAAATATTTTCTTCCATTCCTTTTCACTTTGTGGATATTATCCTTTGATGCAGAAGTTTTCAATTCTGATGAAATCCAATCAATCTTTTTCTTTTGTTGCCTGCACTTTTGGTGTCATATCCAAGAGATCATTGTCAAGTCCAATGCCATGAAACTTTTCCCCTATGTTTTCCTATAATAGGTTTATAATTTTACCTCTTATGTGTAGGTCTTTGATCATTTTGAGTTACTTTGTACATGGTGTAAGGTAAGGTTCCAACTTCATTTTTTTGCAAGTGGATATCCAGCTTTCTCAACACAATTTGTTACAAAGACTGTCCTTTCCTCATTGAATGGTTTGACACCCTTTTATTTGACCATATATATTATATATGTATTGTATTTGACCAAATATCTATATACATATATACATATTTGTATACATATATATATATGTATATTTGACCATATATATGGAATTTATTTCTAGACTGTTTGTTCTACTGCATTGGTCTATATATCTGTCTTTATGCCAGTACCACACTGTATATCACGGGTTTGTAGTAAGTTTTGAAATCAGAATTATATGATTTTCAACTTTTTTCTTCTTTTTAAAGATTATTTTTCTATTTGGTGTCCCTTGAGTATCCATAGGAATTTTAGGATAGAATTATCTTTTTCTGCAAAATACATTGTTGAGGATTTTGGTAGGGATTGCATTGAAACTGTAGATTGCTTTTGGTAGTACTGACATCTTAACAATATTGTCTTCTAATCTATGACACTGAATGTCCATTAAATTAGCGTCATTTGAAGACACTAAATTTGTCATAATTTTTTCAGCAGCAGTAGGAGACTAACACACTGATCAATTAAGTAAATATATGTTCAGTGTGTCCAGTGGATTGATTGATTTTTAAAAATCACTTAAAGATGGAAAGCACAAGTTAATCATCATTAATGTGTGTGACTTCCCACCCATCTCCCTTTACCATGAGCCTGTCTTCCTCTCCTGCTGCTGAGAACCCCTCTACCATCACCTGTGCAGAGAAGCCCGGATACTCCATCCACCCCAACTCAGACCTCAGGCTGTGGACGGGGCCCTCCAGGATCACTGAGCCACAGCTGAGCTGGTCTAGATGAGGAGAATTGCCCAGCCCACTCAAAGTAGAATGAAAAATAATCCATGTCTATTGTTTTAAGCCACTAAGGATTTGAGTGGTTGCTATGCAGTAACTGTTAATTGATTCATCCTCTCTTCAAAGAGTTCTTCTCTGACCACCCTAAGTTAAAAGCCCTCTGGCTCTTAGAATCAGTCTGTCCAGTTATTCTGTGTTGTTTCCTCGAAGCCCTTATCTCTTTCTGAAAGTTTACTTTTTGTTGATCTCAGTTATTTTACATATGCACACATAGGACAGGAACTCCACGAGAGCAGGGACCCCATCTGTGCACTGTGTGGCTCCAGCACCTAGAGCAGTTCCTGACGTTGAGCAGGTGCTCAGTAAACAGTTGTTCAATAAATGTCTGAATAAATAAAATGTGTCCTACCTCTTTCCAAATAGCTTCTAGTTAATATGCTGAAATCTGAGCATACAATAAATTGCATTATTAAGCCAATGAATTATCCTTATAATCAATAAAAGATACTCCCAGATTTTTGCAATTGGTTTAAGGTATTTGTTGATCCACATGCTTGTAATTTGTGCTTTCTTTTGACTTGAAGAATAAATTTGCTGAAGGTTGGGAAAAGTGGTGTCAGGAGTTGCTTGTTAGTTACAATTTTAAACTAGAAATCTGAATCTGACCTCTTAACGCTTGAGATAGACGATCTCGTCATGCATTTAGTTTTATAGAATTATCTAACCTTAGAATTATTTCCCTTCCCTAAAAACTGTTTTTGCCCTTACAAATGTTGCCAATAGGTGGCACTCCCTACCCAAAATCTATTAGTGTGAATTGAAAAAGGTTATTGCGCGTATATATATTTTAATTTCAGCTTTATTGAGGTATAATTGACATATAAAACAGCACGATATCTAAAGTGTACATTATAGTGAATTTATATAAACATACATTGGGAAAGGATTACCACCATCCATTTAATTAATACATCCATCACTTCACATAGTTATCTCTTTTCTTTTGGTGACAGCATTTGTTTTATTCTTTAATCAAATTTCAATTATACACAACAGTGTTATCGACTATATCAGCTAGCGTCCTCAGACCTTATTCATTTTATAGCTGAAAGTTTGTACCCTTTTACCAACCTCTCCCTATTGACCCCAACCCCTAGACTTGGCAACCACTTTTTTACTGTCTGTCTATGGTGTGACTTTTTTCGGCTTCCACATATAGGTGATACCATGCAGTATATCTTTCTCTTTCTTGCACATTGCTTTATGTTCCTGGCAGTTCTCAGTGTACAACACCAGATGCTCCCTCTGCAGACTCAGTCAAAGTAATTTGCTATGACAGCCTTCATCGTTTTGTGTCTGTGATCTTGTTCCTGATTCCAGCTCTCCACATCTTGGGGTTTGGAAGGCCAGCAATATTTGGAATATGAAGAAGGGAGCCTTTTCTTTAAAAAAAAGTCATGTGTTTATTAATTTCTTCCTCAAGCATATTCTAAGTGTGACAAACACAGGAGTGAGGAAGATTGACAAAACCACTGCTCTCATGGAATTTGCATTTTAGAGGAAGGAAGGACAACAGACAAAGAAAAAAGAATACAATTTAATCAATACTTGTTAGCAATAAGTGCTATGGGAAAAAAACAGCAGGGGAAGAGGATACGGATTAAAAGCCTTGGATGGCCATGGGAGGCCTTATCGAAGAGGAGATTTTTGCATAGAGACATATGGCAGTTGAAGTGAACCATGTAGATTTCAGCAGAAGGAATATCCCTCAAGGCTGTGAGCCTAGAGGGGTCTAGAGTGTTTGAGGAACAGCTGGAGGGCAATGGTGCAATAGAGACATGGATGAGGGAGACAGTGGTTGGCTATGAGGTCAGACAGGGGGCCAGAGTAGGGAGTGGTGGACTGAACATGTAGAGTCTTGTAACCAATGAGGACTTTGGATTTTACTGGAAGTGAAATGGGAGCCATTGGAAGATTTTGAGCAGGGTGCTGATGTAATCTGGTTTACATGTTAATGGAATCACTATTTGGGAGCTAGAGCAGAAACAAGGAGACCAGTAGGAGGCTTCTTCAGTAAACCAGATGAGAGGTGATGGTGACTTGGACCAGCCACCATCACAGTGAGGTGAAAGTGGGAGGAGTGAAGAGTGGTAAAGTTTGGATCTATTTTGAAGATAGAGCCAAATAAGCTTTGCTGGTCCATTGTAGGTTGGTGTGAGGAAAATGCATTCGAACTGTGATGACTTTATTCATACCAATAATTGTAATTTACATCTGTGATTTATTTTTACTTTTAAGCCACTTTCACAAGTGGTTGTTTGTTTGATGCTTAGGAACCCTGTAGGTGTAAATTATTTGATTTTTACTAGTGTTGAAATAAAGTGTATATGTGTTGGAGAGGTTGTGGAGAGAAGGGAACTCTCATACACTGCTGGTGGGAGTGCAAACTGGTGCAGCCACTATGGAAAACAGTATGGAGATTCCTCAAAAAATCAACGATAGAACTACCATATGATCCAGCTATTCCACTGTTGGGTATTTATCCAAAGAACTTGAAAACACCAATTTGCAAAGGTACATGCACCCCTGTGTTCATTGCAGCCTTATTCACGATAGCCAAGACTTGGAAGCAACCTAAGTGCCCATCAAGGGACGAATGGATAAAGAAGCTGTGGTATATATACACAATGGAATACTACTCAGCCATAAGAAACGACGAAATCCAGCCATTTGTGACAACATGGATGGACATTGAGGGTATAATGCAAAGTGAAATAAGTCAGAGGGACAAGGTCAAATACCGTATGATTTCCTTCATTAAGTAGTAGATAATAACAACAATAAACAAACACATAGGGACAGAGATTGGATTGGTGGTTACCAGAGGGGAAGGGGGGAGGGAGGAGGGTGAAAGGGATAATTCGGTACATGTGTGTGGTGATGGGTTGTAATTAGTATTTTGGTGGTGAACATGATGTAGTCCATGCAGAAATAGAAGTACAATGATGTACACCTGAAATTTTTACAATGTTATAAACCAATGTTACTGCAATAAACAAAAAATAAAACACAGATTTATTCTTAAAAAAAAAAAAAAAAAAAAAAAAATAAAGTGTATAAAGGGTTAATAAGAAACAGACTTTTTCTTTTCTTTTCTTTTTTTTCTGGGGAAAATTTTTCCCTGAGCTAACATGTGTTGTCAGTCTTCCTCTTTTTGCTTGAGGAAGATCGCTCTGAGCTAACATCTGTGCCAGTTTTCTTCTATTTTGTATGTGGGTTGCCACCACAACAAAGTCGCCAGATGAGTTGTGTAGGTCCGTGCCCAGGTCCCCGCACTGGGGCCACCGATGTGGAATGCACTGAAATTAACTACTAGGCCACAGGGCTGGCCCCAAGAAACAGACTTTTTAACAACTTTTGTGAAATAGGTCAGGTTACTGGCACTCTCCCTAATCCAACTCCGGAGATGCCGTAGAAGTGAGGGGAGACTATTTGGATTTGAAGAACTAAAGTAAAAATTGTGAGAAACATTAAAAGGTAGAATGTGGTTGTGACACAGTGTGAGAGAAAATAGTAGCTTAGCTTGAGAATGGATGGGAAACACAGATAAGGGAGATATTTTGATTTATACTCTCTTTTATCTACCTTACTGCAAGATCAGTATCCGGCTCTTTCACTCTAAGGAGGACAAATAGCAATGCCAGCTCAGAGCTGCAGGGTCTGTGGTATAATATCTGGGCTCTATAACTCAGGCTGCAGAAGGGAAGAGATAACCACATGTGATAGGCAGGCCTTGAGCCATTCCACATTCCTCTTCAGACCTCAAAGGCTAGGAAGTTACAATTAAGTGAGAAAAGACCTTGGCAAGGAACCATGGCTGGTGTGGAGATATAGCAGTTCCTCAAGGTGGACAGTCATTTGGGGAGGGGTCAGCAGATCGTGTGGTTTCCCTCAGTGACATGAGTGTCCTCCTCGGGAGTGCACATCCTCCACCTTCCTAAAATGATCAGGAGTATCCAAACCTGGAGTCTGTGCTTTGGCCACTCCTTGGTGCTCACTGTCAATCAAAATAATGGATAACTTCAGGGGAACATGAAGGCATGGGAAAAAATAATCAGAGCAGTGACAAGAACATTCACTACAAAAAAATACATAAAAAATCCTGAGCAAACTAGACAAAATGAATGAGAATAATTTGATCATGTAGATGAGGAATTTAAAATCTGCTTAATAGATAGTCTCAAAAAGATAAATGGTCAGGGGGTGGAGGGAGGGAAAAATGAGAGTAGTTGTCCGAATGGTATAGAATTTTAGTTTTGCAAGATGAAAACAGTCTGGAGATCTATTGCACAACAATGTTAATACACTTAGCACAACTGATCTGTACAATAAAAATGGTTAAGATGGTAAATTTATGTTATGTGTTATTAACCACAATAAAATATTTAAAAAAAGATAAGTGGGAAAATTGGTAACATGAAGTAGGAAGAGAAAACTATAACAAAGAAAATATTGGAAATATTGGGCACGAAAAAATACGT